ATTAAATGCCAATAAATTGTTTTATTTTTAATTATTATTTAATTGAATCAAATTTAACAGAATACACATAATTATATCACAAAATATACTGTATTTAATTCAAGTACTGTATACTACTTTATAATTGTTGATATTTAAATGTTTATACAACAACCGAGTACAGTTTGTTTATTTAATTGGCTGGTATTAATTGATTTGATGTCTTTTTGAGAGTCTTTGCTTCTAATAAATAGGATCTCTTGAGACAGTCATCCAGTTCTGTATAATTGATATTACAATACATTAATGAAATGCAATTCAATTGAAATAAGTTATAAATGTTATGATATGATAAAACTTATTTCATGACCATGTTTGGATTTTTGTTTTAATTACTATAAGTTATATAATAGTAATGAAAATGAATACCTTTATAGGGCTGTAATAAAAGAAAGTCTCTGACGCTTTGATTTGATTCATTTAAGTGATAGTCGTTTGCTTTTCTCTGATAGACGACAAGTCCTCTCACAATCTCTTCCAGAATTTCTTTCTCTTCGAAATCTCGAAGTCGTTGAATGTCAGCGACGGACCAAATGTTCTTAAACGAAGGCTTTATACCCTTTTCGTGCATTAATCTGAGTTTTAACTTTTCGGTATTCAATGATGCGATCGAATCATTTCGACTGTCAGTGCCTGTGCTCAGAGAATCGGACACTTCTTTACTACTAATACTTCTTCTTCTCATTAATTTCTTTAAAATGCTTTTTTTAGGTCTCATTTCAACCGATGATTTACGAATATTTTCCACTTTTTTCTGTATCTTCTTCTTGTCTTTGGCCACACCTATCAAGTGGTCGATTTCTTTGTCCACCCAAACGGCTATCGTGTCTGTTGTGGACCAATGGCTGCGCAAACGGTGTGTTTTGATCTCTAAGTACTTCGCACCACATCTTTCTTTTAGATCGTCTATAAATTCATCGAATAGAGGAATGGAAGGCGAAGAATGGGCGAGAGGTTCGGCTTCTCTCTTGATTTGTTCGGATATTTCAATAAATTCACAATAACTGTCGGAGAAGTCGTCGGATACTATGCGCCAACATTCTCGTAGTCTAGCGATTGGAGGGCTTTGAAGGCTTAATATAACAGAATATACTGAATGCCAGTTCTCGAGTGCTTTTAATTCTTTGGCCACCTTTTTATTTGAAATAATATGTTACAAAACTTTTCCAAAATTAATATTACACCTCAAACCTCTATAAAGTAAGCAATTCTTTGGGCACATATTTGGTTATCAATCACTTTCAATATATAACTTGGAATTAATTGAATGAGTCGTTTTTGAAAGCCTAAGAGCGCCGCAATATTAGAGCACGAGTCCTATGGATTGGATAATAGATTATTTAATTGTTTAGTGTTAAGTGTTGTAATTTATTTTCTAAAAATTTTATCAGTATTCCCAATAAATTCTAGTAAAGTATGTTTAACGCAGACATTGTTTTCAACAACACTTACAGGGCTTATAGAATGCGGACGAATCAATAGAGCTATAATTTCTGTGCTTTTCATCGACAAAAACAATTGCCTCGCGATTAGTGTTAATTCGTTTGCCACTACTTTTGGACTCATGCTTTCAATGTTAATGAATTCAATCGATTCGTTGCTAATATTCCGCTTATAATCAATGCTTTTCTCTAATTAAATGCAGAATTATTAGTTAATATAACTTATATAAAAGTTTTTTTTAAAAACTTAAGTCAAACACAAAAATTTAATTACTTTTCATATGTTTTAAATCGCTATCATTGGGAACCGTTAACAATGTGTTCGCTGTCTTTTTTGTCACTAATTCTGGGCTCGTATTTGTTGAACTAAAATTAGAGTTTTGTCGAATAACTTCAAGCTTTTGAACGTAATCTTTCTTTTTATGATTCTTGGAGTCATTTGGCGTCCAAACCTCTCCATTACGATAACTGTTCCGTCGGAATGGTATGGATTCAGTGTCCAGTTGTGGCGGACAAAGACTCGCTCGTCTCTTGGCCTGAATCAGCATAGAATAGACATCATTACCAAAATGGCTGAGTTCTGGTGATAACAGGTGTCTGAAGTCTTCGAGAGAAGCGTTCCATTTCAGATTCCGCTTATTCTCTGAGTCTAATAATTTGGAGCTCTCTTTAGATTCAAGAAACAACTCTGAAGTCCAGGCCCTCAGCGGAAGACAATTAGCGCTTTGGAGGACTCTTTCGTAAGTGATCTCCGGATGTGGACTCAGAAAGATATACCGCGGCTGAAGAAGAGACCCCCTTCGGGCTCGTCTGCCTTTCTTGACATTTTCAAACTCATGCAATACATGATCGGCTTCTTCTATGATGTCATTCCATTCCAATGTCTTTTGGAAAACATCACCAAAACTGCGTCCCTTTGACGCCAAACTCAGTGAAACATTGCAGCCGTCGTTCACTCCATCACCGAATCTGTTCACAGAATGCAAACCATTGGCCGATAAGTCGCTCACATTCTTATCGTTCCTTTGTTTGAATGCATACGGCGTTCGCCACAACTTGTCCTTCACTTTAGACTTCTTTTCCTCAAAAAACTTATCCAAATCGACAGCGCTTTCAATGGATTCCAATAATTCCTGATCTTCTTTATCGATATCTAACTTACTTTTAACCAATTGTTTATTTGAATTCAAATGTGATATTAATTCTGCGATCACTTGAACCCCTTCTTGTGTCAACTGTTTCTTAATCTTCCTGTCATTCTTTGAGTCCTTTTCTCCGAAACTATCCAAAGAAGTGTTTGAAGAAGTGGTCTCAATATTGGATACACTTCTTCCGATATTCTTCACCCCATTATTTAAATAATTATTAACTTTTAAATAAACATCTTCTTCGGCGTGAATTGTCGACCGATTCTGTTGAATGGGTTCACTGTTTAACTGAATAACTGGTGACAAAGCATCGGTTTCGGTGCTCTTCTTCTTTGACATTAAACTTTTAAATGTTTTAAAATGCTTAACCATTTTGTATCACAAATCGTACAAACAATGAATGACTGAAATGAATCGCATTAATAATTTATATAACATATAATTATATCATTCATTGTAATCAACGTCAAAATGTATGACAATTATGTTGTAATTTAATTGTATAATACGTGCACTTTGTGTTATATTACACTTTTTGTACTATTGTGTTGTATGATATGATTTAAATCATTTAAATAGTTGTTATAAAATAAAGTTTTTATCACTTATATGTGTATTACAGCGGAAAATATAGTCATAAAAGTAACGATTCATAATTAAACTTATGATTTGTCTCCGGTTTTATTGTTTCAAACGCTTTATATTCCTATTCAGCCAATGCTTTATTAATATTCAAATATTAAATAAAACAAATATTTTTAAAAATGATCAATGCAGTTTTATGGTTATTTACCTTGTGAGTACCTGTTCAGTTCTCAAAGTCTATAACTTTAGTACTCTTAACAAATATCTAACATAATCATTAATAAGTATCACTCTTAATGAAATCGCTTGTTTTCATGCAATGAACAAACAATTTACTAAAAATTCTGTTTCGCAAAACATTTTTGTTTTGTTTATTTATTAACAAATATTTTGTTGATCACACGATTGCAAAACAATTGTTTTAATTATTAAATGTAATAATTCGTAGAAAAAAATATCAATTAAATCATAAAATATTACGAAATGTTTTTTAATAGATTTTATGCCGCAATTAATCAGCGCTTTCTTTGCTTGAATTCCACTGAATATTGTTATAAAAATACATTAAATTATTCAAAAAGCTATTATTGCCGTATTTTTTATTAAAAGTTCGGTTTTTATTATTAATATTAAAACTGAATTATACAGGAATTATAAAAATTGTTGTAATGTTTTCAAAAATAAAAAATAAATTCATTTGCAATAATTTCCAATATTTTGTATCACAAATCAAGTCAAAAATTTAAACATAAAATCAAAGTCAAGTCAATGTTTTTGTAGATTAGAGTTGAAACGTGTCGTTCATGTGCTCCGAATGCTCTTTCTTATGGAGATATTTATTTCCGGTGGCCGTCGATGCGGACACATCTCTTCCCGCATAGCTATACATTTTAAATAATTCATACATTTAGTGTCAATTTTTATTATACAGTAAGTTATATTGCAATTAACAAAAAATTCAAACCGAAGCTTCTTTTGAGAGAGATTGAGATGATTTAAAACACAATCAATGTGTGGGTGAATATAAGACCAATAGCCCTGATTCTTGTGCTCCTCTTGAGACCACATGAGCTCTGCGTTCGGATACTTTTGGATTTCATCGCGAATCTTATCGAAAGGAAAGGGAGACAATTGCTCGATACGAGTTGAATATAAGACCAATAGCCCTGATTCTTGTGCTCCTCTTGAGACCACATGAGCTCTGCGTTCGGATACTTTTGGATTTCATCGCGAATCTTATCGAAAGGAAAGGGAGACAATTGCTCGATACGAGTGATGGCCACGTCGTTGTCCCGACCCTTAGCCGTCCTCTCTTTAGTCAATTCGTAATACACTTTTCCCGTACAGAATACCAATCGCCTCACGTTTTGTGCGTTTTTCGCCGCCGGACCTGAATCTGGAATAATTGACAAAAACTGTGTTCCGACAGTCATCTCATCAAAACTGGATTTCGCTTCCGGATGTCGAAGAAGCGATTTCGGCGAAAATACAATCAGCTGTTCAATCAGTAATATAATTAAATAAATCAATGATATATTTGTTAAAACCATAAATAGCTTAAAGTCTTAAGCCTTAGGCTATGATTAGGACAAGAACTCACAGGTTTTCTGAAGGGAAGAGCTATTTGTCGTCTCAGTATATGAAAATAATTGGATGGTGTACTGCAATTGGCCACGATCATATTGATGTCATGCAATTGCTTCACTGCAAAGTCCTCATCGATTTGCTAATTATAAAACAATTAATACATTAAAACAAATTTAGGATAAATAAAAGAATGGAGACTAACGGGAAACTCATCGGCTTCCGAGTCTGAGAGCTGTAGGAAGCGTTCGGGTCGAGCGCTGCTGTGTTCGGGACCCATGCCTTCCATACCATGCGGTAGTAATAAGACGAGTCCGCTCTGGCGAACCCATTTGGATTCCCCGCTACACAAACACTGGTCGACAATACACTGAGCGGTGTTGAAGAAGTCACCGAACTGTGCCTCCCATATAATCAATGCGTTCGGATTAGTCATAGAGAAGCCTAACTCGAAGCCAAGAACTCCGTATTCGGATAAAGAACTGTTGCATACGGTATACGGCGCCTGATTTGGGTATAAGTTACTCAACGCGTTATAAGTAGTTTTGTCAATTGTCTGGTGATGTAAGACATGGTGTCTGTGACTAAATGTTCCCCTTTGGACGTCTTGACCGCTAAGTCTCACGTGAATTCCATCCTTCATTAATGAGCCGAAAGCCATGGCCTCCGCGAGAGCCCAATCGACGGATCGGTTTTCAACCATTTCTAACCTCGACTTCAGAATTCTTTTAATTCCGGGATGTATTTTGAAGTCTTCGGGCGGAGGAGTACTAAATTGAGTGCCAATATGTTTGAGCACATCTTCGGGAGCACCGGTCGGATCGCATTTCACTAAATTTTTGGAGCCAAAAAAGCTACTCCACGGGGAGTCCAACCAATGTTTGTCGTGAATCTTCACCTCTTTCTCTGCCTTTTTAAACGCTTCGGTAAGAATGTCATCGTATTGTTCGTTCAGTTCCTTAACAAAACTTTCTGAAACACTGTTCTCAGCGACAAGTTTGGCCGCGTATTGATCCAAACACGGCAACTGTTTTCGGATCTTTGTGTACATCAATGGTTGGGTAAACATTGGTTCGTCGACTTCATTGTGACCATTGCGTCGATAACACACCAAATCTATAACACAATCTTTACCAAACTTTGCTCTCCATTTGGCGGCAACAGTGCAGACATAGACCACAGCCTCGGGATCGTCAGCATTCACGTGAAAGATGGGAGCGTTTACGACACGCGCCACGTCTGTACAGTACGGCGAAGAACGCGAAAATCGGGGGTCAGTTGTAAAACCAATTTGATTATTGACCACAATATGAATCGTGCCGTGAGTTGTATAATCAGGTAAATCACTCAAATGAAAGGTCTCGTAAACCACTCCCTGTCCAGCGAAGGCCGCGTCTCCGTGTAATAGAATAGACATTACTTTCTTTCCCTGAGTGTCTTTGCGATAGAACTGTTCGGCTTTAGTCTTCCCCTCGACTATAGGATCAGAGGTTTCCAGATGTGACGGATTGGCGACAACCGCTAACTTTATTTTCTTATTACTAACGCGATTGTGTCTCTCGTGAGACATCCCTAAGTGATACTTCACATCTCCTGAACCCTAGAAATACATGTATAATGTTTAGTATTGTGTATAGAATCAGATGTCCGTTAAAGATATACCTCATCCGCCGGCTCTAAACTACTGAATCGGGAGAAGATATGCTCGAGTGGTTTACGACAGACATTGGCCAATACGTTAAGCCTTCCCCTGTGAGGCATTCCCATTACAAAACTCTCGACACCCAATTCACTCGAGCAGTCAATAATGGCTTTCATCGCTGGTATCAATACTTCACAGCCTTCGAGACCGAAGCGCTTCTCTGACGACCACTTTTTGGCCAAAAACTCTTCAAATTTATGCGAACGAGTCACTCGGGCTAAAAGTGTCCGCTTTTGTTCAACCGATAATTGGGTTATTTTCGGTGTTTCAAACTTCTCACGAATCCAATGACACTCCTCTATGTCCGGGATATACATATACTCGACGCCAATGTGTTGGCAATAGACGTCTTCCAAGCGTTTCAATATCTCTCTCAGCGGAAGTATAGACTCTCCGCCACCGATAAAAGTGGCCGACGGGAGCTTAAAGGGACGGTCCATATCTTTCTCCCCTAATCAGTTGACGTAAGAATTAATTGTTTGCTAAAACATATGGAAATGTTACCAAAGTTATGAATCTTAAGCCAAGAGCTGTCGATATGTTTGCCAAAATGAAGGGGCGAATGAATGTTTGCCATTTTAATACCTAAAGGGTCCAATTTTGCTGATAAATGACCACGAACCTATCAAACAACATTTTGCACATTTAGAAACAATAAAAATTAAAGTAATCACACAATCAAATAAAAATAGCAATTTAAAACCTGATATGATCTGATGATATACTGAACAGCCAAGTGATCTTCAATATCCCGGAGCCCAACAGCGGACACATTTGGTGTTTGCGCTGTCATTGATGTCATCTGAAGTAAAGATTATTTAATTAAAAGTCGTTTTCAAAGTTATTGTAAAATTACGTTAACTGATGGCTGAGTTTGTGTGCCGGACGCCAGACCGGGAGGGCTTTGGTAAGCGAGTCCGGGCTGTACTCCAGCCGTTGCGCTCTTGAAGAATGCATCCCAACTCTGGATTCAAATAGAAATTTATTATAAATAAGTTGTAATCAAAAATAAAACAATAATTTCCGGCTAACCTTATGGACAGTATTGGGGTCTTTAAGCCACGATCTGTACATCTCTTCCACATATATAGAAGAGGAGCCGTTGAGGAAGGGTTCCTGTGCTGCCCGAGCCGTGAATACCCGAAACGGGTGTCCATTAGAGGCAGTGGTGGCCGACAATAATGACCGCCCGTTCCGTCCATTTATGGCAAAACCAAAACCACCGCTGAGTTTGAGGTTTGATTTGATGAGACAATTGGTTACTCTTTGCATACTTTGAGACAATAGTCACTCGACTTCAATGAGAAGACAATATGAAGACATATATAATACACACTTCCAGTGAATGGAAGCAAAAAATGTTACTTTTATTGGATTCGAAAGAATATGTGAACCGATAATGAGATCGTATTCTGTATTGAAAAGTAATTACAGCTCATTATTAGTGCACTATTTCTGACAGTTTTAATCAAAAACTGGAAACAAAAAACTTTTAAAACTTTTAAAGTGAACACAAAAATTGAATTACTTTTCACATGTAAAGAATGGCTATCATTGGGAACCGTTAACAATGTATTAGATGTCTGTCGTGTCACTAATTTTGGACCCGATTTTATTGTGTGAAGTGAATTACAACTGAATTGCATGTGAAATGCGCCCATGAGTTAAATCTTCAATTTAATAGTTCTTCACTTTTGTTCACAGCTTTTCACACTAAAACTCGTGTGACTATTACTAAAACTATCATAATCATAACTATCATGTCCGTTCTTCAACATTTTACTGAAAATTTAAATTTAAGTAACAAATTTTAATTATAATATTTAAAATAATTCAACACGTGTTTTAAAAAATCTGTGTGCGTTACAAAAAAATTAAATAAAATTGACATGTTCAATTGCTTTTCTTTTAAAATTAATTAACTTTAATATTCTAAACTTGGTATAGATTTTATATTCCAAGAGGATTGGATGGAATGTAGTGCGAATCGAGTCGGTTAGAGGTAGGGTTGCCAAATTATCTTTTAAAAATCCTGTATAAATGTAAGAAAATTCCTGTATTTTCGAAATATTTGTTCCTGTATTTTTCAATGTATATGAAAATTTCAACCACTATGTATTAGTGACATCTTTATTTCACATATTAACTAAATAAATCACTAATTTGTGCCATTTATGCAAAATTAATCAAAACTTTTATCATCTTTATCAATGGATTATTGTCAAAACTATTTATTTAAATACTATTCAAAACATTACTGCAATCACATTAATTTATTGGCTCAATAATTTATTGGGTGCCGCCCTCTCCTATACATTACGTACAGTATATCACAATCAAAGCATATTTTTCTGGCAGTATATGTGGCAGAGGGGCATAATAAATGGTGACATTATTTATGTACACTCCAAAATATCACTAGTAAAGTTAATACAGAGCCAATAAATTATTGAGCCAATAAATTAATGTGTTTGCAGTTATAGTAATAGTTCTATCGTTATTTTATATTGAATTTTAGAATTAAATTGTAAAATATCCACAGAATATATGACAGAATTTCCAATAATCTAAAAGAATATTTAATAACTTTTATACTAATTGGAAATGACAACAATTTAAACATTTTTATTCTCGTTTTTCCTAAGTTTACTAATTGCTGTTATATTAATAATTAATTTTGTAAATTAAAAATGTACTAAAAATAAACATATAAAGTACATTATTTTGTTAATCACATCATTTGCTTATAAGTTATAACCAGATTATACTGTATTCAAACAAATTTGTCAAAAGTATGCGATTATTAAATCATTCATAGAATTTGAATGTCATTTGAAATGACAGACAAAAAAACAATAAATCAATGAATAACTCGTCGAATCATTTACTAAAATCTCAGTCTTTATTATTTGTATTGAAGACTACATTATTATAATGAGAATTGTTGTAATGATTCAAAAATCAAAAATAAAATATCGTTTTTAATAATAAAACAAATTTTTCCTAATTTTTTATCACAAATTAAAATGAGAAATAACTCAGAAATACATTAAAACTTATTTTGAATTATTAAACAATTATTTCATTTTTTGGACATAATTTCTAAGTCGAGTGCAAACGAGTGTTGGTTTTGGTGTGAAATCAGTTGTGAAACGTGTCGTTCAAGTGCTTCGCGTGTTCTTTCTTATGCACGTGTTTACTGCCCGTCGCTGTCGAGGGAGACACCGCTCGACCCGCATAGCTATCAGTAAAACTAATCAATCAGTTTCTCCTCAAATACAATATATTGTAATTACAAAACAATTCAAACCTAATTTTCTTTTGTGAGAGATTGAGATGATTTAGCACACAATCAATGTGTGGGTGAATATAAGACCAATAGCCCTGATTCTTGTGCTCCTCTTGAGACCACACGAGCTCTGCGTTCGGATACTTTTGGATTTCATCGCGAATCTTATCGAAGGGAAAGGGAGACAATTGCTCGATACGAGTGATGGCCACGTCGTTCTCCAGACCCTTAGCCGTCCTCTCTTTAGTCAATTCGTAATACACTTTTCCCGTACAGAATACCAAACGCCTCACGTTCTGTGTGTTGTTCGCCGCCGGACCTGAATCGGGAAGAATTGGCGAAAACTGTGTTTCGGCAGTCATCTCATCAAAACTGGATTTCGCTTCCGGGTGTCGAAGAAGTGATTTCGGCGAAAATATAATCAGCTATTCGTTTAGTAATAAAATATTATTAGTTATGGAAACAGACTTAGACTTAAGGGTAAGAACTCACGGGTTTTCTGAAGGGAAGGGCTATTTGTCGCCGCAATATATGGAAATAACTGGCGGGTGTACTGCAATTGGCCACGATCATGTTGATGTCATGCAATTGCTTCATCGTAAAGTCCTCATCAATTTGCTAATTAAGTAATCAAATAATAAATACATTAAAATTTATGGTAAATATAAAACAATTAAAACTGAGTTTACGGGAAATTGTTCCGATTCAGAGTTGACGAGCTGTAAGAAGCGTTCGGGTCGAGCGCTGCTGTGTTCGGGACCCATGCCTTCCATACCATGCGGTAGTAATAAGACGAGTCCGCTCTGGCGAACCCACTTCGCCTGACCACTGCTTATGAACTGATCGATAATACACTGAGCGGTGTTGAAGAAGTCACCGAACTGTGCCTCCCATATAACCAATGCGTTCGGATTAGTCATAGAGAAGCCTAACTCGAAGCCAAGGACTGCATATTCGGATAAAGAACTGTTGCATACGGTATACGGCGCCTGATCTGGATATAAGTGACAAAGAGGTCTATACGTTGTTTTGTCAATTGTCTGGTGATGTAAGACATGGTGTCTGTGACTAAAAGTTCCCCTCTCGACGTCTTGACCGCTAAGTCTGACGTGAATTCCTTCCTTCAGTAGTGAACCAAAAGCCATGGCCTCCGCGAGAGCCCAATCGACGGATCGGTTTTCAATCATCTCTAACCTCGACTTCAGAATTCTTTTGATTCCGGGATGTATTTTGAAGTTTCCGGGCGGAGGAGTACTGAATTGAGTGCCAATATGTTTGAGCACTTCTTCCGGAGCACCGGTCGGATCGCATTTCAATTCACTTCTGGTGCCGAAGAAGCCACTCCACGGGGAGTCCAACCAGTCTTTGTTATACATCTTCACCTCCTTCTCCGCATTCTTATACGCTTCCGTCAGAATCGCATCGTATTTATCATTCAGTTCTTCGACAAAACTTTCTGAAACACTGTTTTCATCGACAAGTTTGCGCG